TTCCTTTTCGGCTACTATATGCAATACGTTTGGGCCGAAGGGCCATTTTTTGTAAGTAGGACAAAACATGGGCTATTAAAATTTTGAGGGGCTATAGAGGGTAGTTTTCTCAATCTTATAGGCGCATTTAAAAAACTGCAAAAGACCTAAAAAAAAACTCGATTAAAAAAACTGAGATAGTACCAGTACTTGGGAAGTCTACGCAAGGGAATTAGTGGGTAACATCAATAATCATAAAAATTAAACGCTACAACATCTCTTTATAAGGTAATCTCATCGCATGTATATGTATATGCAACAACAATCAAGATAGTAGTAATTCAATTATATTCAAGAAACGATCACAGTTTAGGCAAAGATGGGGAGCAGATTTGTGTGGAAAATTGTTTTGCTTTTAGTTTTTATTGGATGGCTTTTCATCTGGATAATGTTACCTACAAAGACTTATAAAGATTCATGGACTCCCCAGCTCCAAATCAAGCTCAACTCTACATATTTCAGAGAGCAAGGTAAATGGTACTCCATTAATTAAATTAGCGTAGTCTAATATCTTCCCGTTTTTCCAAGTTAGTATAACACCAAATCTCATGAACCATTTCCTTAAGTTGATGAGGAGCAAATTTGGACCTTTGCCCTAAACCTAATTGACACTTCTTTACTGCAGGGACAAATTTTCTTTTATTTACATTTCCTATAATGTTGATAGCTGCTCTAAGCTGCATCTATCTTCATCTTTGCAGCAAGTCAAGTTATGATCAGAGGTTAGTAATTAATTACGTACTATTTAATTTCTTGTTGTCGTTCTCAGCCATTAATATTTATCACGTTGAAGCTGGAACAAAAGGATAACATAATTATATATTCTTGGCATGTTATAGTTTGGTGACTGATTGGTGCATTTTTACAGTACTAATGGCAATAAGGGGCAATATTTTCGTTCATGGAAACGGCCTGTGCTTGCGATGGCTCCTCTGGGAATTGTGAGCGCTGTTGAGCTTACTTTTGCTGTTATGTTCATTGCCCTTCTAGTTTGGTCTTTAGCCAACTACATCTATATCAGCTTTGGCCATCTCCATATGCAGAAAGTTGGAGAGAAAGTGTAGGTTTTGTACTACTTAAAATTGAACAATTGAATCCTATTGTTGAAACGTGTATATCATCATCATATCATCATCATACTATACTAAAAGTGGGAAATCCCTATGTTCAAAGTCGAATTGCCAAATTGCCCATCAAAAGTTTGAATGATCTTTTTACCCTTCAATCACTCATTACTTCCATAATATTTTTGTGCAAAAAAATAAATATACATTTAAATAAATACATACTAGATTTACACAGTGTGCAAAGAACCAGCCACCATAATGTCTCTTGAATATATCACTTTAACTAGGGAACGTGACCGCGCTTCGCGCGATCGTTATAGTATGCTATAATTTTGTAATTATATTCCCACATTGTATATTTAATATGGTGAAAATAAAAAACGAAGTCCATTAATTTCAACATCGATAAATGGTATGTAATAACATTTATTTGTAATAATGTAAACTTAAATTTTGTAAATGCAATAACATAATATTCGAATAAACAGTCATTCTTTGCATGTTGTATCTGGTAATACTCCTTTATATAATTCGTTTCTACGTTGTTCTTGTTCATACTTCAAATATTCTTTTCGCATTTGTGTGATTCTTGTATACATCTCATCCATGGAAGCTTCAGGTTGTTTTTTTTACATCTGTAACAAAAGACAAATTGTAGTGTTAATATAGCTAAGAATAGTAAAGTAATTAAATTATTTAATTAAGCATAAATAATTTACCTTGACAATTATTCAAGGAAGTTTGATGTCGTTGATCTATAATCTGTTTATCCATTGTTGAAATCCTGCCTAATGTAAGACAAATTTTATTGTGCAGCTATAAGCATATGTTGAATTATATTATTAATGTATATTTAATTTAGATCTCTATAAGAATGTATTATTTTATATGCTTAAATCTTTATGCTACTTTAGAGACAATATCTATTTGTGCAGAGGAATGTGATTTGTGTAGAACAATAAGAGAATAATGTATAGTTTAGGATTAAACCTGATGTTTAAAAACTGCTCCTCTTCATGAAGTTATATTTTGTGTTATTTTGAATCTTCCTCTCATCTTCCTTGTATGTTGTCTTTCTGGTATTTATAGGGGTAAATTGAATGGCTGGAGATCTTGGGAAAAAAAAGATGAATATCAAAAATTTGAATGAGAATAGGAGGATTAGTAAGGATTTATTTTTTATTTGGAATTAGCCGTTAGTGATTTGGTGGATTAATGATATAATGGGAAGGTAAAGAGAAAAATGAGAGAATAGGTGTATAAAAAGAAAAACAATAAATAAGAAAGATAACATACATTAAAGCGAAATCTTTTTTGGAATCTTACCAGTTAAAATTCATAATAACAGGACAATATTTATCAATCGGTCGATTGTTTTTAAAACTTATTTAATGTTACAATTGTTGTTCTTTATTAGTATTATAGATAGCAGTAAAGTATTAGGACCAACATAAGAAAAGTTAATTTTGTAACTAAAAGTACCTCAGTGAAAACGCAACCAGCTGACCACGTATGAATTGCATTTGTGTATTATGTAGCCGTAAAGATGAATTCATGCGCCCTGTAATAGCACGTGAGATCAGATGTAGGATATATTGGGCTCCCCAGGCACCTATGGTAAGTGGACAAAAATCTGAGTACATGCAAACACATAGATAAAACATAGTATTCCATTATCGAGGTGGAGAATTCCATTTCACAAGGCTTAATATGGTATACAAATGCTTATTATACCCTATAAAAATAAACATATATAACTGCATCTTATATTCGTATTATGTTAACACAGGCATAAATAATCGTATTTCTTTTATGTTTTTGACATTTTTTTAATTAAACTGGGAGATCAGCAAAGGAGTAGGGCCTATAAAAGTAGTACTGAAAAATTAAACTCAGATGTATTATGTGGTCGTTGTTCTCTACTTTTGACTTCACTTATACCAAAACAGATGATTTTGTTTACTAAGGTTTTAGTAAATGAATGTGCACTTTAAACCAAAGGGCTACCCACATAAGATAATCAACAGCATATTTTTAACCTACAAACCCCTTACATATTTATGTCTTTCTATATTGATTAACAGTAGAAATAGCACCAATAGTATAATATATTGTGTGGTAATCAGACTTGTGTATGCTTTCCACTATTGCGGAACAACCGTCAGATTTGAAGACTGCACGTCAAGTCACAAATAGTTAGGACTGAGGCAACAGGAATGACGGGTGAGTGAAAAAGGAATTATTTCAGATAACCAAGGAAATGGAAGAGTTATTAACACCTAAGCAAGGAGCATTACCAGCAAATCTTACCATTTCAATTTGTGCAGTCAATTTTACTGTATAATCCGTCTTAACTTTTGAGTTTAACCTCTTTTCCATCAGTACCAGTTGCATCATCCTAAAAGAATATAATAAACAACAAAAGGAATCAACAAATTGAGATGTAAAAAGATAGACAATGGCATTATTTTAACTAAACTACCATCAGTATGTTTTGCCTTAGTTGAGGAGAGTAAGGTCTGTTGTTGCTTCTTCTGCCTGGATTCTTTCCTCATCTCCATAGCTGTTGGTTTTTTTACTCCTTGTTTTCTCAAAAATTAGATTAGTGTAATGAACAAATTTAGAAGCAAACTAAGACAGAGTAGAAAGAGTGTGTAGTAAATTTTTTAGAGAATTGAAGTCTAGCTCATAATATTATGCATAACAAATTGTTATAAGTAACATCAAAGAGGTAAGTAGAAATTCATTAGCTAAGAGTAAGAATCATATCAAACATACCCAGCCCAGTCAAAATGCGGAAGTTTGGGTGTTCGAGCCTGTCCTTTCCTCAATCAATATAGCCAACCATCGCAAGGTGAGGCTGGTCCTGAAGTTTCAGCTGCCAGAGAAGATGAGAAATGATCATAATTAATTAATTTTTAAAAAAAACTACACAATTATGAACGTCCTTAATGGTAGAAAAAAATACCTCGTGTTTATTGCAATAGTAGGACATATATTTTGGAAAACTTCTTTGTAAACAATATTTTTAATGAACACAAGGTCTTCTATGTCGTTGTCAGCATTTAGTATGGTTAATCCTTGTCTTGTTGTTACTCTGGAGACAGCTACATATAATTGTCCATGGGTGAATACTTGTTTCGGAAGGTACTATCCAACATGGTTTAGGGATTGTCCTTGACTTTTATTGATTGTCATGGCAAAACATACCGCTAAAGGAAGTTGTCGTCTCTTAAGCTTGAATGGCCACTTTGAATCATTAGGTGACATAATTATTCTTGGGATTGTGACTCTCGAGCCAATGTTTTTTCCAGAAATGATGTTTGCGCTGACGGACCATTTACTGAGATGCATGATGATCAATCTTGTTCCATTGCATAGGCCTTCACTTTGGTTTAGGTTTCTGAGAAGCATAAGTGGGGTACCTACTTTTAAATGTACATCATGATTAGGGATGCCAGGGAACCGTAAGCTGTTCAAAAATTCAGTAGGGTACAACAGATCTTCATCATTAGTATTCACGCTTGCTTTACACACATTGTCTGAGCTAAAATATGTTCTTCCTTCACCTGGTAGCATTTGCATAATTATATCATTCAACTCATGAACCATTTCATTTTTTGGCGTTAATATTGCTCTTTCTTTCAAATATGTTGGGTCATTGTACTTCTGCAAGAGGGATGGGTAAACTACCTCGACAATTGATCCGATTGGATCGTTGGATGGTTTGATACATACATTAGGAGGTAATTTAATAAGCTCCTTATTAATATCATCGTAAAATGAGCCATCTCCAATTTGTAGCAACCATTTGTCGAAAGTCGATATTTTAGCAGCCTCAGAATCACTTACTCTTCCACTATAGAGACGCATATTTTGCTTCAACTCATAAATTGTGAAAAATGGCCACAAGTAAGAGGAGTTTAGTGACGCATCAACAATATCAGCTCGTGTACCCTTTGGAATTACTGATAGTATTTGACGGAAATCACCACCAAATACAATTGTAAGGCCTCCAAAAAGTTTGTCAGAGCTATTTTCATACCTCACTCGGAGGATATCTCTCAAGGTTTTGTCTAAGGCTTCAAAACAAAATTTATTTGCCATTGGCGCTTCATACCAAATGATCAAGGAAGTTTTCAAGAGAAGTTCAGCTAACTGACTGCCTTGTTTTATCTCACAAGTTGACTCTGAGCTAACATCCAAAGGAATATGAAACCGTGAATGAGCTATCCTACCATTTGGTAATAACAAAGCAGCTATTCCAGAAGTAGCAACAGGGAGAACTATTCTTGATTGTGATCTTATCTTCGCTGTTATTGTATTCCATAGAAATGTCTTCCCAGTACCACCATGTCCAGTTATAAAAAATGAACGGCCTTCTTCCTTCTCAACTGAATTTATTATTGCTTCATACGCTAACTTTTGGCAAGCATTTAACAGAGCGAATGATTGGTCATGCACTATCTTTAGAGCATCTTTGTCATACTCTAGCTCCTCGTTGATAAGACGATTTCCCGCATTATTTAGTAAAGCTGAATCTGGGAGTGGCATTCCATCTATGTCTTTCAAACTTTTTCCCATCTTCAATAGGATGCTTTCAATCTCAAATAATGTATATGCTTCAAGTTGTTTTTTTGTCAACTGTAAATCTTTCAATCGAAATCTCTTTCTCTGTAATGATATTATATCTTCTGATAAAATCTCAAAGTTGGTCTTCCAAATTTTTCTACAATCAGTTACCTGACAGTGAATAAGTATCGTCACAAAGAGATTTCTCAACTCGTTTCCTGTTGCCCAAAGTGCAGCCTCAGCCAAGCAATCATTCCACTCTTTATCATCTTCTAGTAATCCTAAAGCGTAGCATGCATCTTTATAATTGTCATGCGTTACTCCATTTATTCTTCTGATGCTTTCAAATGAAGTGCATCCTTTGACAAAATTAAGCAGCATCCTCATGTAAAAACGTTCTCCACTTGCAGGATGTGCAAAGTAAATTCTACCAACTACGTTGCCATTTCTCCTTTTGGTCCAAGTTTTGTCTCTTGAATTCCAGACAAAATGTGTAGGAAAATCAGAATATGTGAGATCTCGTGCCTCAGTGTATTTTTTGTTTGCCTCAAACCATTCCGTGAATTTTGTTACTTCTATGCCGGGTGTACTAAGAACACTTTCTGCTCGCCTTTCTTCTTCGAATATTATTAAATTTTGTCCCTCTAAATGAAATGGCAATCGCTCAACTGCTGGCTCTCTGTGATGTATGCCAAATTTAAAGATCCTCCAGCAAGCTTCTGTAGCTGATATGTATCTGCAGTCTAGATATCTTTTAATCTCATCAATTTCTACACCGGTATCTGTATATTCTGCAGTTGTTGTTGCTCTATCGGATCCTTTATTGACATATTTGAACAGGTACTTCACCAACCTTGAGTAATTGCATGGCTCAACATTTATATGTGCATCAAATTTGACAATCAAATTCCTATTGTAAGGTACGACATATCTGTTGTCTAATAAGACACCATTTTTCTTGACCTGAGTACCTGTGTTCCTTCTCTTATAAATTGGAAATCCATCTGCATCAAAAGTTGTTCGATCGTTGAATTTTTTTGGAAAATGCTTGGTACACTTTCCTTGCTTCATACATGGGCAATGGCGATTGAGTTCTCCACAAGGTCCGTGCATCATGAAGTTCTTGACGGCATTATAACCGTCAGGATCAACCTCCAGATCAGGTATTTCTGCTGCTATTAATTTATCAATATGGTCTATGGAGGGACTCTTTAATGTGGGATGCAAGAAGAGCAGTATATGTGCGTGAGGCAGTCCTCTTTTCTGAAACTCAATTGTATATAGACCTACAGAATTAATGGTATATGGTGATAGTTAGGATGGAAGTAAATTAATAATCATTCCATCATTTTGTTCAAAACATAAAGCTGACTTTCTTTTTAAATATTCATCAAAGTAGTACTTTTAAATTCCTATTAATAGTTTATTACGAAGACTTATAATTCTGTTAACTAAATCAAACCTTAATTTTTAATGTACTTCGTATTCTTTAGGAACTTCGGTGCTCTTTGTATTTCTAGCTAGAGTAAATTTATGGAGTATTTGTTTTGTTCATATTTCAATTGGAAATATGAAAGGTTAACGTTGATATGTACCGTTTTATAACAGCCAAAAGCAATAAATTCTTGGACAGCAATAAATGAATGCTTGGGCTATCTCAAATTCTTAAAACGTGATGGGGGTATTAGCAAGGCATTTCTTATGATTCCAGACAAGAAACTCAACCCTCTCTGATAGTGATATCCTTATTCTTTATCACGCAATTTTATATGTGTTTTTTGTTTTCTTTTTCTTTCTTTGGGATATGTAATTGTATTGGTCAGAATCCGATCACACGACCATAGCATCAAGGATCCCGTCCCGATCACCCTGCAGCAGCAGTCAACAAATCCGACCTCGCCTAATGGCTGCTATTTATGACATAAGTGTCAAGGTCGAGGCCTTCCCATGAGGGGAGGTTATTTCCCCGACCCGGCCCAAACAAAATGTGACCAGCATGAGAAGTTTTGGGCTATAAATAGAAGGAAGAAGAACCCCTTAAAGGGGAGGGGGGGGGGGCCTCCAAGCAAGACAAGCAGAGGAAACAATCTTAGGAAATGAGATTCCACCTCCAAGGAGAAAAAAAAGAATTTGATTGTAATCTCCTGAACCACTTCAAGGAGAGGCAGGCCGAATTTGTATAACCAATAAAAGTCTTCCAGGTGTCGTTTTAATTGATTCTTTTATCTGTATGATTGTGTTCTTCGATCCAGTATCAATTAATGTTGACTACGATTTACCCCTTCATCTACATTGATTCATTTGCTTAGAAAGTATTAACTTACTTTTGGGTCAAACAATTTAGCGCCGTCTGTGGGGATTTCCTAGTGAAAATACTTAGTTCTTCCTGGATCGAAGAAAAAGGAACACCAAGAAAAAATTCGGCTCAAACCAGAGTCAATGGAAGCGCATCAAACAAAAAAAAAGAGAAGAATCGAACGCCCCAACAGGAGCCAGAAATCTTCCGCCCTGTTGGCCTCGAACAGCCCGAGCGAGGAAAGAAGTGATGCAAAGCGCTCCCCCTTTTCCTCCCGAGCGCCGGGCAAAAGAATGGAGCACCCCTGTGACGACCCAAAGGGTCATCACCTGATTTGTCTCTTTTTCCGTGCTTCTGAGGCCTTGAAAACCTCACCTTTAGTTGCCTCGATTTGCATGCGCAGTTCGGGCGCGTAGCCGAAAAGATTATATGTAAAATTCTATAAAAAATTTCAAAATGTGGCTTTAAAATGATTAAAGTTGACTTCGGTCAACATTTTTGGTAAACGGACCCGGACCCGTGATTTGACGGTCCCGGAGGGTCCGTAGAAAAATATGGGACTCGGGAATATGCCCGGAGTCGAATTCCGAGGTCTAGAGCCCGGGAAAAGAATTTTTCTGTTTAAATTGTTTTTCTGAAATTAGTAAGAAAAATGAAAATAAAAATTGATTAAAAGACTATGGTATCGGGCTCGTATTTTGGTTCCGACGCCCGGTACAGGTGTTATGCGCTTTCTGTAAAGTTTGGTCGAAAACGGACGTCATTTGGTGTGTTTCGGACCTAAATATCTAAAGTTGAAGTTTGTGAAGTTAGAATGAAAAATGATGATTTTGAGGTTTGATTCATTGATTTTGATGTTGTTTTGGCGATTTGATCGCTCGAGTAAGTTCTTAGGATGTTGTTGAGTTAGTGTGTGTGATTTGTTGGGAGCCCCGAGGGCTCGGGAGTATTTTCGAAGGTGTTCGGGGTATTTTTGAACTTAGAAAAAGTAGCAGATTTCCTGCAATTTTTACACAGTGCTTTCCTTCTTCGCGATCGCGTCTTTCAGCTCGCGTTCGCATAGCCTTAGCCTTCCCTTCATCGCGTTCGCGGACTAGTCCTCGCGTTCGCGTAGTAACAGCCTCTTCTTCATCGCGTTCGCGTACCCCAACTCGCGTTCGCATAGTGCAAGTCCTGGACCCAGCCTTTCCCCCTTCTACGCGTTCGCGATAAGTCTTCCGCGAACGCGATGTTCCCAGTCCTCTTTCTTCGCGAACGCGTCACCCCTGTCGCGAACGCGAAGGTCAAAAACGCCCAGTGATTTTGTTAAAATTACAGAAACAGTAGCTTCGGGATTTTCCTCATTTTTCCGCACGAACTCTTCTCCCTAACACCCCATAGACGATTTTGAAGAGCCTTTTCCTCCATAGCTTCTTAGGTAAGTGTTCTTAACTTCATTCTCTCTTAATTTCTTCATCTAATCACTAATTTTCTAGCCCTAAATCATGAATTCAAAGTAGAAATTAAGGGTTTTGGGTAGAGTTAGGGTTTTGGAAATTTTGGGTGAGTCAACCTCAATTTGGGGTCGAATCTTAAAACAAATTATATATTTGAACTCGTGGGATTATGGGTGACTAGGTTTTGGTCCGAGCCTCGTGTTTGGACCATGTGGGTCCGGTGTCGAATTTTGGTATTTTTGGAAGAACGTTAGAAAACTTATTTCTAGGCTATGGGATTATGCTGTTGAGCCCTAATTGATATTATAGAATTAATTATGCCTAGATACCATTGTTTCGAAGTCCGATTTTAGAGGAAAGGCGGTATTGGAGAGTTGATTGCTATTCTTTGGACCGAGGTAAGTGTTTGATCTAACTTTGGCTTGAGGGAATAGGACTAGAGAGTTATTAATTGCTAATTGCTAAATGATCGAGTACGGTGTATAGGCATGGTGACGAGTATCTATACACCAGTGTCTAGCATGACCGTGGATCCTTGTTTGCACGTATTTCTGATATTTTTGAGACTCTTCTATGCTAATTGATGAATTCTACATAATGTGAAGGGTTTGAGGATTGGTTATGAATTGTAAATTCTTTGGAGCGTTGGCTCGAACAATAAAAATACTATGGAGTAAGAAATGAAAGAAATGGAAAGAGATATGATCAATCCCTTGCCGGGATGGTGTTAGTATATTGATTATCTCCCTTGCCGGGATGTAAAAGTTGTTGTTGTTACTCCCTTGCCGGGATTTAGCTGTTTAATTGTGTTTTCCCTTGCCGGGACATTTCTTATTATTTGCTTATTCCCTCGCCCGTTTGGTTGTGATTGATGTTTGGGTGAGGAAGAGTGATAATGCACGAAGGGTCATTCCGTGCTATGTTGATTATATTTGCACGAAGGGTCATTCCGTGCCATGTTTTGATTATATTTGCACGAAGGGTCATTCCGTGCCATGAAATGAGAGTTATGTGAGGAAAAGCACGAAAGGTGATGCCGTGCATTCTATTTGATTGTTTTTGGTGAGAATGAGAGTAAAAGCACGAAGGTTGATGCCGTGCAACTGTTGATTCTCCTGTTTTTGTTAATTATTGTTATTGCCCAATTTCTTACTTAAGTTGATGACTTTATATCCGGTTTGTACTCCCCCATAGCATGCTTCCCTCCCTAGTTAACTGTTTAATTTCGGTATACTTTCCTTTATTGCATATATATATATTGAACTGCACAGGTTGACTTGGTAGTCCTGTCTAGCCTCGTCACTACTTCGCCGGGGTTAGGCCAGGCACTTGCCAGCACATGGGGTCGGTTGTGCTGATGCTACACTTCTGTGCTTTTTGCACAGATTACGGTACCGAAGCAGCTCTTGGACCACAGCAGTAGTTGATCGGGAGCCCTCTTCAGTCCAGGGACTTACGAGGTAGCCTAGCTGGCGTTCGCAGGCCGAAGTCCCTTTCCATATTTTCTGTTTGTTTTTATTGTACCGAGACAGACATTATGTATTTTTCTATCCAGACTTGTTTGTAGCACTCTTTAGTGGTTCGTGAGACAGCGACTGCAGTCTTGGGTAGTGAAATATTAGACTTCCGCATTTTGGGTTTTCAGTTATTTATGTTTTAAAAGACTTCCGCATTTATTTAAAGACTCATTACTTTATAATTGTTATGTTGTTATCCGAAAATGTTGGAATGTTTGGCTTGCCTAGCTCCAATAGTAGGCGCCATCACGACTCCCGATGGTGGGAAATCCGGGTTGTGACAACCCCCCACCCCCCCCAATCCACCAATACTGTATTGGGCCGGAAACCAGCGCAGAGACGTTTTAAACGAGGAACCGAAAATCGCCTTGAAGCAACCTGAGTGCCACGGTCAAGCGAACAATCATAGCATGGGCACAATATACACCCGCAGGCCGAAATGAAGCCAACGCTTAATGCCCAAGGCATCGAACCATCGATGAAACGAACTGGGACTCAGGCTAAGTGCCTTCGCCATCAAAACTCGATAGTTCGGCTGCGTTCGAACTGGGACTCAGGCTAAGTGCCTTCGCCATCAAAACTTGACAGTTCGACCTTGTTCGAACTGGGACTCAAGCTAAGTGCCTTCGCCATCAAAACTCGATAGTTCGACCTCGCTCGAACTGGGACTCAGGCTAAGTGCCTTCGCCATCAAAACTCGATAGTTCGACCTCGCTCGAATTGAGACTCAGGCTAAGTGCCTTCGCCATCAAAACTCGACAGTTCGACCTCGTTCGAACTGGGACTCAGGCTAAGTGCCTTCGCCATCAAAACTCGATAGTTCGACCTCGCTCGAACTAGGACTCAGGCTAAGTGCCTTCGCCATCAAAACTCGACAGTTCGACCTTGTTCGAACTGGGACTCAGGCTAAGTGCCTTCGCCATCAAAACTCGACAGTTCGACCTCGTTCGAACTGGGACTCAGGCTAAGTGCCTTCGCCATCAAAACTCGACAGTTCGACCTCGCTCGAACTGGGACTCAGGCTAAGTGCCTTCGCTATCAAAACTCGATAGTTCGACCATGCTCGAACTAGGACTCAGGCTAAGTGCCTTCGCCATCAAAACTCGATAGTTCGACCTCGCTCGAACTGGGACTCAGGCTAAGTGCCTTCGCCATCAAAACTCGACAGTTCGACCTCGTTCGAACTGGGACTCAGGCTAAGTGCCTTCGCCATCAAAACTCGATAGTTCGACCTCGCTCGAACTGGGACTCAAGCTAAGTGCCTTCGCCATCAAAACTCGATAGTTCGACCTCGTTCGAACTGGGACTCAGGCTGAGTGCCTTCGCCATTAAAACTCGACAGTTTGACCTCGCTCGAACTGGGACTCAGGCTAAGTGCCTTCGCTATCAAAACTTGACAGTTCGACCTCGCTCGAACTGGGACTCAGGATAAGTGCCTTCGCCGTCAAAACTCGACAGTTCGACCTCGTTCGAACTGGGACTTAGGCTAAGTGCCTACGCCATCAAAACTCGACAGTTCGACCTCGTTCGAACTGGGACTCAAGCCAAGTGCCTTCGCCATCAAAACTCGACAATTCGACCTCGCTCGAACTGGGACTCAGGCTGCGCCTTCGCCATCAAAACTCGACAGTTCGACCTCGCTCGAACTGGGACTCAGGTTGCGCCCTCGCCGTCAAAACTCGACAGTTCGACCTCGCTCGAACAGGGATTCGGACTGACTGAATGCCCTCAAGGAGCGACAGGTTCGACCTCGCTCAAACCCAGACGAGCTATCCTCTCGAAAGGTTCACAATGAAACCTACGACCAGAAACTTTCATCACATAAGGGGAATGCGGACTCATCTGACGAGCCCCCAACCCGCGAATAGATCGTAAGTCACCAGAGAAAAATATAAAGCAAGAAGCGAAGAAGAATTCTTTATTCACGAAGTCGGAAGTACGGGCTATTGCCGCTTACATCTGATCTATGCCAGCCAATAAAAAAAAGAGGAAAGAAAAGAGACAACAAACAACTAAATACGATTTTCTCTCACACGGCGCCAACGCCGTCGTTATCATCATCACCACTGGCGTCCCCATCAACTTCGGGTGTCGCCATATCATATCCACAGTTGGTTCGAGCCTCACGAGCCTTCTAGTGCGCCTCCTCGAAAGCTGCCTCAGTCACGGTGCCCACCTCCCACAAGTTCTTGAAAATATCACGTTGAGCTTCGGCGTAAACCCAGAGTTCATGAGCCTGGCGGGGAACAACGACACGGGATGATCCAGCATGGACCCTCAACCGCTGATTCTCCTCCTCCAGGGCCGCAACCCGATCTGACAAGGCTAAGGCCTCCATGTCAGCCGCGCCAATCCGCTCCTCGAGCCTCGCCTCCTTAAGGGCCGCAGTAGCTCTCTCCGACTCCCGCTCGGATTCATGCACACGAATTGCCGCCTCCAAGGCCGCTTCCCTCGTCGAAGCATCCAACGTTGCCCTCTCCATACGCTTCAAATCAGCAATCGTGCTTTCCAGCATAGCCAACTTCCCGCTCCATTCGGCGTTCATCTCCGCTGTTCTAGCCTGGCTCTACTCCATTTCCAACTGCATTGCCCGTAACTTGCTCTGCAGGTGCTCGCATTCCGCAGCGACCCCTTTGCCTACCTCGAGCTCCTCGTCCTTGAGGCGGATTTGCTCTTCGAGCTCGCTCTTGCTGTGGAGCGCCTGCATTAGCTCCTGGTCCTTCTTCTCCAACTCCTCGCCCAAAGCCCGATTGCGGGGATCAGCCCTTAATCGTTCGTGCAACTCACGGCACCTATCTCGATAATGACAGTATTTTTCTAGCATCTGCAAGAAGATCCTCGATCGGACATTGGCCCTGCGAATATTTTCTACCTCCAACATGTACGTCTGCAAAACAAGAAAGTAGTTAAACTAACGCTCATTCTGCAACGACGGAGAAACAAATCGAAATCAGATATAACATACCCGTAAGCCCATCACAGCTACTTCGTCCATTACCTCGACATCCGAAACATTCCTCAGGGACTCATTTTCGGCCTCCGAACACAACAAGATGAATTGTGGCACCAAGTTGCCTCCTTGTGTCAACAGGTTCACATCCGAGGGGATCTCAACAAGGCGAGCCGACCCCTCCGCATTGACCACCGAGCGAGTAATGCCCTCCTCGAACATCCGGACGTCATCAGGGTCCAAGTCAGACTCGGACTCGTATTCGTCGATCACTACTCCCTTCCCCCTCTCAGCTGCTGAAGGTGCGGCGCGACCTGCAGAGGGTGGCAACGGCGCACTCTAGGACACGACGGCAGCATCAGGGGCCCGATTCTCCGCCACAATGAAAGGTCCTGCGTCACAAACAGCGGGGACTCCTGATTGGGTCTCTACACCAGCAGATTTCTCCTGGCTCTGACTGGTGGGAACAACCACGACCACCTGCTCCCCCTCAGCGGTAGACGTCGCAACAACTCCTTCCTCTGGGTTCTCTGGGGGTGAATCCAAGTTGATCACCGCCGGAGGGACCGTCTCAAACCCTACCCTCCGCCTCTTTGTCGACCCTTCTTCCTCCCCGGCTGATGGCGAGTCGTTCTGAGGACGGACGGTACCAAACCGGCCCTCTTCCGGAGATACAGTCCGGGTCGGAGTGGCCAAGGCCACAGATTCTACCGACGCCACCCTCGACGGACGAGCTGTAGGTACCGTACTGATACGAGCGGACGCGGACGGGCGACGGAAGGCTAGCTGAGGAGCCCTGACTCTGCGAACCCTCCCTGGCCACGATAAAGAATACTCGGAAGGTAAGATCGAAACGAAAGAGAACGGGTAAAAAATAAGGGCGCTATCTCACCTGTGAGGGGCCGACGTCCGAATCTCAGATGGAATGTCGACCATGTACGAACTCCCGCCGTATGAGGAAGAACGGCCTCGACCCATTCTCGGATCTCCTCGAGGAGGCGGGGGTAACTTCTCGGCTGCAAAGCATCGAAATAGATCAATATTTACATGAGATATAAAGAAAACGAGGCCAAAGTGGGTAGTCTACTAGTCGAGGATGAAGACTTACGGGCAAAATTCCACACTTCTGGAAACCCGATCGGATCCGCTACGAGATGCTCGGTCCGCACATAGAAAAAGTTATCGAAAAAATGGCGATTGGTCCTGTCGTCCATCTTGACCACTAAACCTTTCGACCCTCGGGGACGCGCATGGATCATAGTGCCGCGAATCTTTTGAGGGGCGAACAGGCTGAGCACGTGTCTCAGAGTGACCTCCCGCCCGGCTAGCTCAGTTTACTTGATAAACATGAGGAACAACTTGTAGAGGTAAGGAGAGAGTTGGGCAGGACACACCTCATAATAACGGCAGAAGTCGACCACCAACATTGGAAGCGGAAGTGTGTACCCCACCAGGAAGGGGTAAGCATAGAATGAGCAGAACCCGGGACGGTCGATCTGGACCCTATCTTCTCTCTTCGCCGGCACCATCTCGACATAACCGGAAATACCCCATCGTGCCCTTAAATCTGCTATTCTGATCTCCCCTATGAGAGGAGGAATATTTACCTGCTCCGCACCACCATCGGCGCTGAAATCCACCACTGCCTTCCCCGGGCGGGATAAAATTTCCTCGATCGAAGGAACATCTTCGCACTCCATCGGGTCCACGTCTCCGTCTGCCGGAGCAGGGTCCCTGGCGCCGGAGAGATAGCCGAAAGTCTACCGAAAGAAGAAGTTCCTGTCTTTTTTAACTCACAAGAAGAGGAGGGAGGAACTTTGACGAAGAAGCGAGAAAGCTCAAGATTACCGCGAGCAAAGGAGTCAAGAAAAACTCAAGCTGATAGAAAGGGAGATATTCTGGGAATTCTCTCGAAGATAAGCAATAAAGTGTGAGAAACGAGTGACAAATCCCTTCAATTTATAAGACACAAATTCTCCGGGGCGCAAAAACCAACGGTCACCGCCAGAACCCGGCCGGGCACGAAACGATTCAGCTTCTCGGGAACGTGGGCCGCTGTGACCACCGATACAAAGCTACGTTTCGTTTAACCGGCTCTTCGGTTTCGTAACCATCATGACGGCATAAGAAGCATTAAAGAGACGCCTCCGCGCAGTTTCGAAATTTATAACGCGACCGAAGAAAAACACGCGGATCTGACTCCCTCCACGATTACGCCGCAAACATTATCCGTCTGCCGAGGCCGGTAAGATACGACCCCGACGAACAGAGGGACTAACTGTATTGGTCAGAATCCGACCACACGACCATAGCATCAAGGACCCCGTCCCGATCACCCTGCAGCAGCAGTCAACAAATCCGACCTCGCCTAATGGCTGCTATTTATGACATAAGTGTCGAGGTCGAGGCCTCCCCACTGAGGGGAGGGTTAGTTTCCCGTACCCGGCCCGAAACCAAAACTAGTGACCAGCATGAGGAGTT